AATGTTTACTACGTCTCTGAAAGGTGAGGGCCTACTCTAAGTGCAGGACCGTTACCTCGCCTTTCTGAGATTCAAGGATTGTGTGCGTATGCAACACCACGTTTCAGCAAACCATGGTCATGTATATGATTGTCCCCTTAATTATATCTTCACTCTCTGACTCAGAGGAGTGAATACCAGCTGGTGGCGACTAGCGAATTTACGCGCGGCCTGATATCGGAGGTGGCCGTCACGCCCTCGTCTGTGTAGCCGCAAGGGCCACTCGGTCAGTCGCTCCGTGCTTATCTGGCAAAGATGACTGTTCTGAGCGTGGTGACACGCTTATGGGAGGGGGGCTCGGCCGCAGCAACCACCTACACCCTCCCCCATATCCGGTCTTCTCGACTTTTGTCTTGAAATCGGGTACAGGTGTGGGAGTGGTAAGAGAGTGAGGTACATCCTGCGAGTCTACTTTCACTATAATTCAGCTACAGTCCCCGCATCTGCCCTCAGCTTGCTGAAGCTCGTGGCGGACATCGTCAAAAACGACGGCCGAACTATCTGCATTTGCTGCTGAAAGATATGCAATGAAGTGTTTGACAGATAAACACTATTAGGCAGTTTCTGCAGCGGCCCGAAAGAAATGCACTTATACTTACGTTGCCAGGCGCGTTAATGTCATATTTTAAGTACAAAAGTTCTGCTGCCTGTACAAAAGCAGTAAAGTGATTTTCTGAAAGCATATAAACTAATCCCTCGAGATTACGGAGAACGAAGCCTAACTCCTACGAAACGTCAAGTACATCGATGTGCTTTCATTTCAAAGAAACAGGAACATAAATTCTGATGTGTGATCTTGGTTAGAAAGGAATACTAAAACGGAAGTTGCAACACAGAGAAAAAGGCTGTATAATCCAAAGATATTTCAGCCACGACAGGATGCTGGCCTCTGAATGCGGGCTTCTTCGGTCGCCTGCAAAAATTGCATTCGCTAAAAATGACTTCTTAAGTAGCAGGATGCTTTTCCGTCTGTGTTCGATGTTATTATAAATCAAAACTTATTTCAGAAGCCATGTACAAAAATCTTTCTTCCTGTACTGACTTTGGACTAAGGTACGTCTTCGAATCAATTACTTAAAGGACAGTTTGTTTTATTGAAAAGGTTCGTGACTTGTTACAAAACGCGTCATGTAAGCCTTCTCATTAACCCATCAAAAGAAGAGAATTTTATTTTACCGAACGTGTTCAGTGGCCGATTCTGGCTTTCACTAAACCGGGAATACAGATTATTGTGGGGCGTGCTTTAAGGCACTACAAGACAGCCTTGTGTTATTTTTTGAGATGTTAACTAAACGTCAATCCTACCCGAGTGAAAAAAGAGCATAGCATAGTGTCTTGATCAACAGATGAAGTAACCTTCAAGAGTCAGTGGTTTTAAAATATTAACAGGACCGATATCTTCACATAACATGCCGAAATCGAACCCGGTCCTTGTTGGTTTCCATACAGCTAATTCTGGTCCATCAGACGCAGAGTGTCGGGTGAAAGAAACCATCAGCTGTTCTATCAGAAGGGTTTTTAAGTAAAGGAGGTAGATTATGACGAGCGTTTTAAAGATATTACTGCACCAGCAATACACCTAGGCATCTTCCCACTAAAACTGCCGTATTTCTTACACTAACATCTAGACTGCTGGATCAGAGACTAAAGTTTTAGGTCGCTGGAAGTTAGATCAACTGGAGGGGTCCAACAAATATCTCGTTGGTTGACCTGGTGGATCAAGTAGCTTCCAGCAAATTTAATAACGGACTCACGATTAGGAGTACATGGTATAACCGAGTAGATGAATAAAATCATAACACCATAGCTAAATCAATGAAAAGGGACCACAGCAATGTAGGTAGATAGCGTAAAAATGGCGCGAAAAGTAGTTCAACCAATTAATCATATGTTTTTGCTGTGTATTTCGACTATTCGCGGTGGCTATCAGCCCTGTCCGCTTACTATGTCAAAAAGTCGATAAAATGATTACAGCGCTTCTGTTTTCTATATCTTAAGGAAACCTCGAAATTAACCAAGACAGTAAAAATTAAAAGAGGTCAACGATTTATAATAGTCTTCAGTCTATGGAGACGATCCTATATGACAGTAATAGAAACAGACGTGATAAGCTTACCAGGGCTCCAATTGACATTTCACCTGACCATTGGAAAGGGGCTGCGTAAAGCAGGCAACTCCATCTCCGGCTGACGGGTCAGGGAAGAAGCGACCCTCCACGCCGCCCCCAAAGGTGCTCTTCAACGTGCGTGGTGCCTGGACCTTGTCGATGAGAACCGTTACCCGGATGTTACCGTTGGAAATCTCATCAACAGTGACTGTAGGCATCGGAGTGCTACACGCGCATGACGAGAAAAGGTTAAGTTATCGTGAAAGGAGGGATGGAAGTACGCTGCTACTATAGCATGATTCCTACTATAATAGGTACTGGTCAAAAATCAGAAATGGATTCAAAATATGTCCTCTATATGGCGAACATTAAATCCAAACTAAAAAAAACAAAAAACAATAAATACTTCTTGAATATCGTTTAGGTTTTCATCTCCTTTCGAAACGTGCCAGCAGTGATCACTAAGTACCCGTAAAGTTTTCCGGTGCTTCATTCGGTCTTCCTTTCCTAGCACCGATCCCAACTTGACCGAGATTCCTGGTCTCGTAACTAGCTTTAAACTAGTCCATTTAATATGTCAATCAATCGCCAATACAAGCGAACATGCGAGTCTCAGGAAGTAATTGGGAAGAAAGAGATGCGATCGCTGGGACAAGAGTTTTATTCGCCTGACGGTCGAAGTCCGTCGGGTATTCTCAATAACAGACATTAGTATAAACGCGTTTCTGCTTCTGTTTATGCGAATGTCTCTGATGAAGAATCCGCGACGGACTTCGAAACGTCAGGCGAATAAAAGTCTCGTCCCAGCGATCGCATCTTCATCTTGTTGTCTGTTAGTCAATTTATCTAGACGCATAACCAATTTCGTCGACAATAATTCGGGAAGGCGGAGTTTAGCTGTCGTCTTGATTTCTGAGAATTCTAAATTTCCACTGGTTGCAGATACAAGGCGCAGTCTTTAACAAGGTATAAATGCGAAATGCACTGACTTGTAACAGGCAAATAAGTAACTGCAGGACAGCATAATGTGGAGAGCTGAGGTCTGGCAAGCTGACCACCCTTTAAAATAACACAAAGTCAGGTGAACACAGTGACAGTGTGCACGAACAGCAATTAAAACTTTTTTCTTTGTAAAGAATAAGCTACGCACTGTGTGATAGAGCATGAAAACTCTTCTTCAAAAGGATACACAGAGCCGTCAGGCTAGAGCTAGCGCAATACAAGTTGGATGCCGCCTGCCTCTCTGAGGTGCACTTATGGCTTCACATTTGGCGGGTTGTCCTCAGGCGTCGGCAGAAAACAAGCTTACAAGCTCAGTGTGACAGTGTACTAGTGCAGTGCGTTTAAAGTATTGACAGTGAAACAGACAGTGCTAAGGTCGTCTTGAGTCCTAAAAATCCCTTCATCGGCCCACAAAACAGCGCTGGTCAGACACAGGCGGTGTGCGGGGTAACTTAGGTGTTAAGAATGAACCTCCGTTCTTGGTAACCATAAGAGCGTCAGCTAACCGACTGCCCATCTTTCATAGTCATGTGGCTCTAGTTTGTCAGTAGCCTCCTTGGTAACTTTTGACTACATACCCACTCATGGATAATGAGAAACTTGTACTTGTTACGGCTTCGATCATGT